TCATCATTCGGTTCAGCATAGTGAATCATTCTTATTTAGCCTCTTCTTTGGATGACCGTAAGTCGATTAGATGAGATTAGAGATTTCAGGGAAAGTCTTATAATTTTTGAATGGAACAAGTTAAGAATATCAACCTTGTATAGATCGAAAACGACGAACTTTTCCTATGGATTTAGTCTCTTGAAAGTTTACATAGAGAAGAAAATAGCTTCAGAATGTTGTTTTCAAAAATTTCTACCAAGTACTTCCGTGATTGATCTATTTTTAATCGATCGAATTTCGATATAGGTCGATGGCACAGATTATTTCTCTTGAGTGACGAAAACTGCAGATTTCTATTATGTTCATATCAAAATTTATTCAAGAAACAATACGCACATCATATTTTGAAGTGCATAGTAGTTATTTGGATGGTTTTCCATCATTTCATGAGAGAAATTGACAAAGTCACTATTGTTTTATGAGACAAACGGAAGAATAGTTTACTCTGTTCTTTAGACTTCCTTATCCTTCAAAGTAGACTGTATTGATGTAGTTTAGCTACTTTTCTATATATAGTCTTTGGTATTAATTCTCTTGTGGAATGATAATATTTTACTGGATTTTTTATGTATTTTATGACAAAGCAGCATCGGTTAGATAACCTTCTCGTAAGTGTTGTCAGCTTCGTGGAATAAATGCTTTCATTTACTACTTCAGAAGCACCCTAACATTAATAATCATCGTACAAGCTTCTTTATGCTGTGTCATAAACCGTTGACTGATTGATGGTCCTTATAAACTTTGCTACATATTATCTAGAAAATGAAAGAATTGAATGCTATTAGCATCAAACAAAAAGACAAAAAAATTCTCCAGAAAATCACAAAACTTACGGAATTAACTTTTTTCGTATGGTAAAAGATACTCTCATGTGACTGTGGTTATCGGTGTAGATGTTAGTGTAACGAATGAATATCTGACACTCACACTCACATCCAACTCTTGATTGTTTCTTTGACCCATAGTGCATGTTTGACTCTGAATGAAAAGGTAAAAAACGTGTGAATTGTGGACAGAAAGGAAAACATTTAGAAGCAGTAAAGAACTTTTTTCTTTTTGTCTGACACGGAACTGAAGAATTCTTTTCATATTCATATTTATGATAATATGAACTAAAAGGTTTTGTAGACGAAGCAGTGACTCTTATTGGTTCCAAAGGTAGAAAGCTCTTTATCTCGTCAAGCTACTGGACTTCTATGTTGCAAAAGATAACAGGATTTTTTTGCATTCGAGATTTATTGATCTATCAACTACTTGATTAAATAATATTCATTGCTGATATGTTAGCTGATATATCGGCTGATTAATCAGGATTCAAGAGTGCAACTGTACCAACACCAACGGCAAGATGCGAGAAATTTGACTTTGACAACTCTACTGAAGTGAGGGGGTGTAGGTGGGTGTTAAACAGCTCTTCTCAACAACACCCACATCACCTATCCTCAAACTGAGTAAGAATAATCTAAGCATTCGTCGAGATATTTTGAACTGTTTTAAAGAACGATATGGTATTTCTAGTAAGTATTTTACGAAGAACTCTAAACATATACGGATGCAACTTGTTTTTTTTTCAATATAAGACTGTTTTGTTTAATGTTGATTCAACTGTCTTTTCACCTTAGAATTTGTTCTCAGATAAATCAATTTTTACAAAAATACCAAGTTCAATGGACAACAATATCTAGAAGTGCGAAAATTCTAGTAAATTTCGACTGATTCTAGGAATTAGAATTTGTGCATCCCTAAGTGGTATATTGAAAACCACTTAAAGTCAGTTGACAGTGTAATTTGAAAAAAAAAAGTCATCATATGCGAAAGATGTGCAACTACTTCAGGATAATGCTCAACCTTATATACACCTGGGTGTTATTAATTATTTAACATAAGAAAGTATCAATATAACGCGACAATCATCATTTTCATCAGAGAAGTATTCTTTAAGACATTGTTACAAACTGTGGAACTATGTATAAATAGTCATGATGATTATTTTGAACATGTAATATAACAATATGTAAAACTAACTCTTTACTTTGATCCTTTTTTATTCACTGCTGCTGTAATTTTAAGTAAATCCTAAGTGCGAGATTCTAAAACAACTTAACAACTTTCAAAGAAGTCTTGTTGGAATTTATGAAAATATCTGTCAGATTCAGTAACAAAATCCAAAGTCTTGATACATTTTGACACGATTCAGTTCAAATTACAAATATATTCAATACAATCTGATTCATGGTTTCGATTAGGTAATGTATTGAATAAGAATATTAGGTTCTAAATAGCTTAGAGAAGACTCTTGTTGTGAAATACTTAGATGAAATAGTGTATTGTTTTCGTTTTTGATAAATTTCATATTTTTAACATAAGAGTTCATAGAAAATAGTTAATATATGATAATCAAAAGCATTTTTAAGAAAACTTTGACTATGGTGATATATCAGACCATTATAGTATTTCTTATCAGTGTTATGCTGACATGTGATCATATTCTCAGAAGTAACAACGAATGAAATGAAAAAAAGAAGATTATTATTAACGAAAAAAGGAAGCTTGGAATATGAAGACGCTTCTCGTATTGCTTCTATTTATTTCTTCCACATACGCATATGTCGAAGAGAGTGCTCTAACTACTTTACAAACTTTAGGTAAGATATTTTAGAATTTTATTTATTCAATAAATAATCTAACATCTTTTAGATCATTGGAACACATTTCGTATTGTCTTATCACATACACTTGATGAATGTTTTTATCTTGAAACAAAATTAGACGATACAATTCATGTCATCTATCAAGTACTTAGAGGTGGTGATTCCCTTATACGAGTCACAGTAACTAATTCATTGGGTCGTCTAGCATATACTCAAGCTAATACTGCCTTTGGTTGGTATGATGAAGAGAATTCGAAAGTTGCAGGTACAGAAATCTTATAAGGAAACTGTTTGTTTTTTTTCTTTTCATAAGTATATGTTACATTTCATTTTATCTTTTAAGGAACTTATCGAATATGTTTCAAGAACGACCAATATTTTACAAAAAAAGTTATTTATATAGGTGTACTTGCAATTCATAAAGATCGTATTCTGGAAGCAAGTATAAATACAGCGAATGAGAAGAAAGCTAATGAAACTGCGATTATAGAAGAATTTTCTACGAATACTATGGTAAATTGATAGATTCATTTTTTTTCTCATCTTTTACGCTAACAAACACGCACATGTCAACAGTCTGGTTAAGCGAACAAAATTCTAATTGATCGAAAATCGATTTTTTTTTAATATTATATCAATTTCAATTAACTTCTAATTTTAATTGGATGAAGTATTATTAGGAATTCGTGAAACTTTATTTGACAGAATATTATTATAAAATGTAGTACAAAAGTTTGAAACACATTTAAAATCTCAAATAATCTTTCACTATTGAATGACTATTTTAAAGCTCTTTTATTTACCATTCGATGAAGAATATAACGGACTACATTCAGTTGATAAGTATATAAACGGGGAAAGCATTGAAAGCTGAACAAAATGCTATCAAACTCGCGTTAAAATAACGTATCTCGGTAATTCAAAATTATTTTTTGTGGTTACCTATCCATGGAAGTATTCGTCAAAAATACGAAAATTACCAAGAAGACGAATTATTTTAACGGAAGTTTGATATCATTTTGTTCAGTTTTTAATGCTCTTTTCATGGATGTACTTATGAACTCACAATGACTACAACAGTTACATTAAATTTAATTCAAACTCTTGACAACAATTAGATATCAGATCATTATTTGAATGATTTTAATAAATAATATTGAATAAACTAATCCACAAAATAAAAAATGTTTGAAATTTTCGTTCTTCAATTTATTTTTTGATCCTTCTTTTTTCGTTTCATTAGCAATCAGTTCTTACGATTTCAAAAGGACTTTATCGTCTTACTGCTTATCAAACAATAGGACGAGTTCAACATGCACATGATTTATATGCGGTTGAAGCTAATGCAAGTTATGTACAAAAGTGGGCTTTATGCCAAATCATAGCAATGATTGTATGTTCAATAATTCAAGTTTTTAGTATTCGACGATTATTTAAATCAACAATATCCAGTAAAACATCATTGAGTAGAAAATCTAATGAAAATTTCAATCCACGAACATCACCATATTTTATTCTAGCTAATTAATAATCTTTTCTTTTTTTTCTTAAGAAATAAACTTAAAATACAAGACCAACAAACGTACAATATTCTTTTTTTGCTGTTTAACATATGGCTGAGTACTTTTTTCATAATCGCTATTATTTTTTTGCACTTAAATATCATATTGAATACGCACGTACTCATAAAATATAGCTTTTGTTGACTTTTTTTCTTCATGGTGATTTAGTTTTTTTGATACCCTTGATAATATTAAACGAATGGTATGAAGAGAAAGAGAAAAGTATAAAAGCATTTTTTTGATATCATTTTCTTGTGTTCTGAAACAAACAGAAAGAATAACATTGGCTAGGGGTCTCATCCATGGTACAAGAAAAGAAAGAAGATAATAAATGACAGCACGCATAGAACTAACTATCATCATTTGCACTTACAAATTCGTGTTAGTCTTAGTTTTTCATTTCTTTCATTCTTTTTCTTAGCACGTACACTTCTACCATTCTCTATCTTATACATTTTACTCTATAATAGAATTAATCTTTGAATATCAAAAACAAATCCTTCACTTTTTTCTTCATCTGATCGATAAACACCACGCTTTTGGCTAAAAAACGGTTATAGAACAAATAAAAATTTACTAGGTAAATACATTCTATAGAAACATTTTTTCCTTGTTCTTTTTTCAAATCTATTCGACCAACTAGAACCTAGTCATTTTTTTAGCTTAAGTCGAACATGGTATATATATTGATCGAGTACATAGTTCAATAAGATAAACATATAAATGATTGATTGCGTTGAAATGAAAATTTGAAAGTATGTCGTAGTGAACTTTTTTTACGCTGATATCTTCATCATTCTAATATGTGGTCTCTTCTTAAATAGCGATTCAATCGTACTGCATGAGTCGATCCTTATTGTGGCTAGAATGTCGGTTGTACAAGACCGAGTACAGAACGAATGCCTCAAAAAGAAAAAAAAGAATAATGAAAAAAAAAAAAAAAACAAATGCCTCATTCCATGTTTCGTCTTTAAATAACTGCACATAGACAAAACGTACATATTCTTATATCCGATAAGCAAATAATATCGGACATCGTTCTCGTGGAAGATTCTTTATATGATATTGCATGTTGTTTCTATCAGAAACAAACAATGCATTTCGTTTTGATTTTGTTTATACTTCATCATCATCAGTAGTGATATCATCATTTTTTTAATATCTATCTATATTTGTATACTCTTGTTTTATTTATATTTAGTTCAATTTACATTATCTCATCAAATCAAGTTTTCGAAACAATTTTGAATATAAATCAAAATTCCTAGTCATTCATGTGTCATCTTTTTTGTGATGATGAATATATATTTAATTATTTTAACAAAATCTAATCAACAACAGCATCTTAGCAGTTGTTTTTATCGAATGTATGCATCAGTGTCATGCTTACCGAATTATTGTTAAATTTAATTAATATTCTAAAAAACTTTATATACAAGCTTTCTTTTAAAATTTCTCTTCTTTGTTTTATTATAATGATTTATTTGTTTTGTTCATCTTATTCAGCTTCGATTTCGACATTGAATTATTTATCGTCATTGTCTTCTTCGAATCAATTTGAATTAATGTCTAATAGTTCGTATCGTAACTTTATTCTAAGACAATATTTTATTGATTTATTTAATATATCACATACATCTCTTGTTCGTTCAATGATTTATAATCATCATATAACCGGTAGATCTATACAAAGTAAAGGAACAAAAGAAAAAGATTTTTTTTTCATCTTAAATTAGATTTCTAATTATATAGTTAAAAATACAAGAAGAAAACGTTTAAGTGATGATACATCATTATATAGTCCAATGTTCACTTTACAATCAAGTAATTGTTTCGTGATTGATAATCAAGTTCAATCAACATTTATTTGGTCTCATTCAATAGAATTCTTAGCTTCTATTGAACTTATCTATCATATTGATTCAATTGAAACAAAAACATTATCAATTCCATTGCATATAAAATTTAAACATTCACAAACATTAACAGAATTTTTTACAATAAATACATATTTACAATTTGATTTTAATCGAGATTTTTATTTCATTAATATATATCAATATATATTACAGATAAAGAATCAAAGTTTAATTATTGAAACAATAATATATAATGAAACATGTCAAACATCACATACATATATAATAATATCATCAATAAATATTCATTCAAAATCAGATCAAACATTAAAATTAAATTCAATACTTTCCTTAGATCTTCATCAATTAAAACCAACACAAACCAATTCATTATTATCAACATGTAAAATGAAAACAATTCAAATTAAATTTGAAGATCTTGGTTTAGCTTATTTAATTATTCGACCAAAAGAATATGAATTTACATATTGTGATGGTTTATGTTCTTATTTAGCATTACAACAACAATCACAAACATCAATGCATGCACTTTTTCGATCAATTATCAATAGAAAAAAACTCAATATTCCACAAGCAACTTGTGTACCATCACAATTTGCTGACGATAATTTTCTTCTTCGAAAAATGGATGGTAGCCTTGAAATTTATCCTATTAAAGATGTAATTGTTAAACAATGTGCTTGCCTGTGATTCCCATTTTTTGTTTGTTTGTTATGTAGACTATCAGCAAAAAAAACGCTTAACGACAATTTCTTTTTTTTTTGCGATTAAAAATATAAAATAATAAGACGTCAAATGATATTTTGTTTTTTTTTTTATTCTATTAATTATCAAAACGTTCGAATATTCAAAGTTTGAAAGTATACAATAAAAGATTGTTATTGAATTTATAGACATAATTAATTAAAAGAATTCAATATGTATGATAATGAGTGGGACTAAAGATCTGATGGAATGCGTCGACATGGTTCTCTCTTGAAATATCTAATCATACCCAAAAAAAGGAAAATACTATTTTACTAAGGAATGGTATTCAACTTCTATTGTAATTAATACACACAGATAGTAGAAGATTTTTAATCTTAAATTAAACTATGTTTTCCTGATAAACGAATAACTCGAAATAAACATTGGATACATTTGAACGAAAAAGAAAAATGTATGATATGTATATACATATAAGTCTTTATGCTAGTACATACATGATAGAACAAAAAGAAAGAAGTTCGACACAATAAAATATCTGCTTCATTTAAACTTCACTCGAACCTTGTACATAATCCCAATCGACATTTAAATGATCTCGTTTAAAAAATAATTTAAACTTATCAATACTATCTGTTTCTCTTTCTAATTGCCATAGTAATTGACATGCACAAACAGATTCAGGATTTGTTATTGTTGGTGGTATAGGATGTATTCCTATACCTTCATTTGTCCATGCACTTGATGATTCACTTTCAATATCAGTTGTTTTCATTGAAAATGTTAAATCATTATTTGAATCTGAACGAGTCTTTCCACGTCTACTTTTACCACGTTGTCGAATACAATCATGAGGTCCGATAGAATTCACTGTGTTCGATTGGTTTGTTGCATAAATACAATCGGGTAAATGTGTTATTGACGATTGTTGTTGTTGTGGCTGTTGTTCTGGAATGATCGATGATTTTTCATGATTTTCTACCTCAGTGATAATAGCTGAAGTTGCTGGAGAAGATGGTGATAAAACTGGTGCCGGTGGTATTGGCGGTTGAGGAACATTAGGTGAATCTATCACTAGTGCTGCTGGTATATTATCTAATGTTTTCTGAGTTAGGATACTTGTATGATAAGATAAATCATCTGCGCTAGCTGTTGCTATTGGTAATTGAGGTGTATTTGATAGACGACGATGATGATGATGATGTAGCCATTGATCTGGATAAGCTGATAGAGAACGTGATGGACGACGATCACTACCAGGAAAATCATTTGTACGTAATGATGATGCAGCTGAATTAGGAAAATCTGCTTTTAATCGTAATGTATTACCAAAACGAATACGATGTAAAACTGATTTACGAAATAATGATGAACCTTCACTATAACGATAAGATGACATGTCACTTTTCGATGTTGTTGATGAACCAAAATGACAACGAATATCTTTATTTGTTGCAAATGCACTAAAATAAAACCATAGAATTTCTTTACAAAAAAAAAATTAACGTAAAATTTTACCTTCGTTGATTTTTTTCTGGTTTAAATATAATTAAATAAAGTTTTGGAAAAAAGAGAAATATTAGTACAACATAAGCACTGGCATTGGTTGCAACACATAATGAAAAAACTTTAACATCAATAGCAAAATAAACAGCAGCGAATGCTAACCATATAACACATGTTGTATACATTGAAAAACCAATAAATTTCGCTTCTAGAAATGGGGAAAAAAATACTGAGTTATTTACAAATTTTAAGGACGGAATTTCAAAGCTATTAGGTTTCTTCAAAATAACTATATAATATTTCGATTTAAAGAAAATGAAATTTTCAATAAGTTTTATTAGAGAAACATGGAATATCTATTCCACCTAGTGAAGACTGGTTCGATCAGTTACAACTTTGCATTCTGTATAGCTTACCATTAAAATTTTCTGGCAAATTTCTTGTTTTAATCTAAAGAAAGCAAATTTATAATCTACTAATAAATGTACTAACTGAACGGTACTTACAGCATAAAGTGTACATAAAAAAACGAGAAGACCATCAAAACCAAGTGGAGCTACAATACCTTGAAGTGATTTTTTACCTAATAATAATCTCTTATTTAATCAAAAAAGAAGTCTAAAAAACAAATAATAATCTTACATGTAAGTAATAAACGTCCTCCTGTTTCAATTAGAACAGCTTTTGGTGGATCTCGATAAACAGTAACAGCTAAAAATAACAAAAGAATTATTTAAAAAAGAACAAGAAGCTAATCTATGTGTATTCAAGTTTCTTACCAACAATAGTTACTTCAGTCACAAGTATAAAACAAGCTATGGCAAGTTGATGTCTTGCACTCATAAATTTTAATCGTCTGGTTATTATTTTCTTTTTACTACGTGCTAATATACGTGCTATACGATTTGTTTTTGTTACTAATGAACCATATATCATTGAAAATGATATACCAGGTAATAAACGTGTTAAAACACATATAATAAATGATGGTTTTTGTAAAACAACAAATGCAGTTAAATGACAAAATAAAATACCCATTAATATTAAATAACTTAATTCTCGTGTCGTTGATTTAACAACTGGTGTTGCATTAAAACGTACAAATATATAAACAACAAAAAAACTTATAAGTATACCAACAGCAGCTACGAAACATATTATAATTGATAATGGATGACGAAAATTGATTGTTGTTATTGGTAAAAGACCACAAGCTATATACAAAAGAAAAAGAAAGAAATCTATTTTCTGAAGAAAAATAAATATTAAAGATTAAGTATCGATATTGTTTATTTGGAATTTCAGAGTGTCGAGAATAACAAACTACAATAATAACTAATGTTTAATAACCTGTCTGATCCTCATTTGGCCAAAATCCAGGTGGACAAGTAAAACATGTCGTTTCATCAAGTACAATAGCATCACCACATGAATGACATTTCCAACAACATTTTTCGTCATCTGTATATTTCTAAAATAAAATAAAATAAATTGAGAAAACGACAATTAAAAATAAAAAAATCAATAACCTTAACATGACCCCTTTGACAAGATTCACTACAGAAACGACGAACATTCAGTTGTTCTAATGGACGTTGATCAGAAAAAAATCGCATTGCTGATGTATTTAAAGTTAATTTTCCTGTACTCCATGTTCCAACTTGAACATAATGAAGATGATGTTCGAAATCATCTGCAATACCTTGTAAATTTAATATATCATATCTAAATTAGTACAAGAAAAAAGAGATAAATAAATCATAAAAAAAAAATTTTCTTCTCTCTACCTTCCAGGACCATCACCATTTTCATCAAAAAATACTTCTTCGCCTAATAGTAAGAAAACAAAAATTTTTTTTCTAATATAAACTTATTAAATTTTGATTCTTACCAGTAATTCCCGTAAATCGACTACTTTTTAAAAATTGCATTAATAATGATGAATTCATACGAGCCATATCTGGACATAAACCACTTGTTCCATTACAAACTTGTTTATGCATTTTATCTAGACCATGTACAACAGCTAATATGGAATTAATAACAAATGCAAGTTTTGGATCTTCATTATAAGGTACTCTCTTAAGACTTTCACGTTCAGGTGTACATAATCGAGGATATTTATTTGGTCGACGAGTAGAATTATTAGCATAACCATTTAATGTACAAGCAAACTTTTGTTGCCAATATTCATGAAACCAAACATTTCGTGTATTATTATATACATGTAAATTACGAAAATATTGTTCAAAACCGGGTACACGTAATGAACGTGCTTTAATCTTATAAAACAATATATTTATTTCGAAATTAGATGTCTTTAGAAAATAGTTATAATTCTTACCGTAATTGCACCTAATGCTACAGTTTCAGTATTGTTTGGTATTACATTAAGACGATCTGCCCAAGCATCACTAAAAACCAAAACATAATAAATACGATGAAGTCATACTATATATTCAGATAATCAAAAATGTAGAAAATAGTCTTATTTCGATGTAAAGACTCTAATCGAATAAGACTTCACAAATTGAACTCATCGATAAGATCTCTTTCTCTATAGTAGAATCTTCGATTTTGAAATTTACTTAAGAGGCTGAATCTCCGATCTTCTAGAAATATCACAATATTGACAGTTTAAAATGCTAATTATTTGTATGTAAGTTTAGTTAATTACCTAGCAAGAATAATAAATCGTTGTGTATAATTTAATTCATTTATTGCTTGTAAAATAGCTCGAATCGAATGATCAAGACAAAAACATATAAGAACTTGTGCACGAGGTGCCCGAATTACAAGTTGTTTGATTAATTGACTAGCAACTGTTATATTTGCACCAATGGGCTATGAAAAAAAAACAACAATTATCATTTTAAAACTAAAAAAAAATTGTATCCTTTACCATAGTTAAATCTGCACCAATACATGCATCTTTATTAAGTAAACGACGAATAGCTTCAACACCACCACGACCATAATCACCTATTTCAATTTAAATTATTTATTAAAAGAAAAATAATAATTGTTTATTTTGAATTCTTACCTTCAGTACCAATAGTAGCAACATAACTCCATTGAAATTGTCTTATAATATCAACAATTGCTTGTGCTTGTTGAGTATCTGATGCAATAACACGTGTAAAATATTTATATTTTTCTTTATCACTTAATTGTTTAGCTGTAGCTGAATAACCAATTTGTGGCATTTCAAATAATTGTAATATATTATGTGTTTGCATGGTAATTGAACTATCACCAGGACCAATAATAGCAGCTAATTGAGCTCGATTTCCATTAGAAGTTGCAATTAAATCTCCAACATTTAATACTGATTTACCAATAAATTCAATAGTTTGTTCAAGAGCAACAGGTGCATACCAACATGAATCACGAATTTGATAACCTACAGTAATATTTGGTAATATGGACTGATTTGCATTGACTATATTAAAAAATATAATAATCAATGCAATACAATAAAAAAACAAGAAAACTTTCTCTACTTTGATCAAGAATCCAGAATGTGCCTTCTACTCGATGAATACCATAGTCTTCACGAATGTCACCACTAAAGATTAAATATAGTTTTGTTTTGCTTTTAAACAAATAATTGATAATTCATATTTACCATTCTCGTAATCGACCACCTCCATGTGATGTTGGAGGATTATGTAAGGAAAAGAAGGCGCCAATCACGATTTGAGCTTCCGACGGTGATGAAATCGCTAGAAATATATGATGTTTTGTTTTTTACATAGAGATTTAAATATAATTAAGAATGTTATTATTATTCTATTTTGAGAAATATTGAATAATGTATTTTCATTACATTGAATATTGCAAATCTTATCGAAGAAAAATTAGTTCGTTTTTTTTGACTGTTTTCATCTACTAATTAATAACAATCGAATCGATTCAATAGTTTCTTTGATCCGAATACCATAGAGAGTCTTTTATAGCATATTTCATTTAGATTATTCATATAAATTTCTCTAGACCAATATAGTTAAATTAAAAAATCACGGAAAAACAATATAGTCTCTTGAGATTTGCAACATAGTCGATAAAATTCTTTATGAATACTTAAAGGAGGTTCAAACATCATAATTCTCTGCTTTTTTTTCTTCATGATTCTATTCTCGAAAACAAAATAAAAACATCTCGACTTCAACTTCAACATCAAAATCACTATAAATAATATGAATATATATACATAAATACCTGATAAACGATTAAAATAACACATAACAAAATGAGAATGTGGGATGGTAGCAGATAGCCACACGATGATAAAAATAAGGATCAAAAGACGATTGCTTCCGTATTGTGACAGGAAAAAGAGCTGTTCGAACATCGAAATGATAATAACAATAACAGGAGATGATGGTAGCAAGGCAACAAATAAAAATAAAATAGATCAAAAATTAAAGTTTCTATGATGGCATGACGTGACGGGTACATCGATCTTGATAGAATAAATATAGTTTCGAATGTAAACGTTGATAGAACATTAGGAGCCATTGTAAAGCTGCATGGTGTTTTATTTTTGCTTTTTATTTAAAAAGATTAAGCCTAGGAGATAAAAGCAGGGAAAAAGAAACATTGGTAAAAAAAAATAAATGATAAAAAATTTTTGAAGCAATCATTTGTCAATTTATTTTCTAATCATCAATAATCTATACTTCACCATATACTCACTATTCAATAATCCATGACATCAATGAAAAGATAATCCATCTTAGATATATTGTTCTGTTTTCTTTTTTGATTCTTTGTATTCGTCTTTACCGCTCGTTCTTGCACTCTCGTTCTGTCTCGGTGCGCGTATTTATCGATCTATCTATCTATCAATCTTTTTATCTAAAACAGCAGATCACTATTACTACTATTTTCTTTCGTCGCCGTTCTCGTCATCGTTCCCGGTTATTGTCGTCGCGCAATCACGTCTATCAGGCGATGCACACTAGAATGATGTTCAATGATTACTGTTCAGGGTTATTGGTCTTCTTCCTATCTTCTTTCTTTATTTTTTTCTGCTTGTTCGCACGCACACGCTCGTCTTTTTCCGCTCAGCCATCCTTGGCTTATAACTGTGATATATCGGGCGAAGACGAAGAGACATTGTTGCAATCGAGTTAAGCTAGTCTTCGTTTCTTCATCTCTCTCTCTCTCTCTCTCTCCTTTTCTTACTAAATTTTTCTTTTATTGTTTTTCTCTAAGAGCAAAGAAAGATTTTAAGTTTTTAGACAATATAATAATATAATTGCAACAATTTACGCTAATTATGGATTGACAAAGATACATGACATGATCATGATTTATATATATATATATATACAAGCATCAAAGCACTTTGCAATAATATCAGAGAAAAGTGCAACCATCCCTTCTGAACACATTTCAATATGTCGTATGATCAATAGTAATTTGATCCGCTTGTTGTTTTAGCTGTTTTCTATCCAGGCAATTTACAAGATATGTAGTATACAAACATATAAATTTATAAGGTTGCCATTCACAAGTAATGCTTGTTCACTCAATCACGACATTTTTATCATTCGAGTAGAATAATCTGTTGGTGTTTTCCTTTTTTCTCTATGCTTCTCTATTTTTATCTTTTCTCAAGGATAAAAAGAAAAAAAACGAGAATCGAACGCAACTGAATGTATGTTACACAAGCTAATTCTTTTTTCGTCAATATTGTAGCTCGTTGCCGAACTCATACAAGAAATGAATGTCACCAATTTTTGGTAGCATCGCGTCAAAACACGAGTACCCATCCGTTTCTTCATATCGCATCGTTCAAGTCATAATTCCATATCCGGCTGTTGTTTGCAACGCGAAAGAATAAGTTTTTTTTGAATGATTACACGAACATCGTTCAAGGCTTGAGTATTAAATCGTATGGGCACACATTATTGGAAACATATTCTCTAATATAAGATCATCTAGAATAGTCTTTTTTTTTTCTTTTCCTAATGATTTCCTATTGATTCAATTTTTATTTATTACATGAACTTCTATTGATTCAAAAAGAAAAATAAGAATATTTGAATATTGTTTTAAAAATAACAATTTGCAAAAATTTCTTTCCTATCATTTACATAGTAAAATATTAAATTTGGGAACTGTGTCTGGCACATTATATATATACATATTTATATATGGAATCTTCTTGATGGCATTACGATGATCTTTACTGTATAAATAGAAACAATCGAAGATAGATTGAAATCATGAGTTAAATTCGATGGCAAATTTTTTCATTTTCTAGAAAATAGATCTTTGATGTAACTGTAAAAAAAAATGTAATTAGTGTAAAAGCAATAAGAAAATTTTACTGTTCATTTAATATCACATGTTGCTACAGTCTTAATAGATTTGATCATTCTGTTTATTGATTTGAAGTTTTATTATTTTTCTGTAGTGCATATAAATATAATAACTGCAGCATATAGAACATTTCATTGCATTGATACTCCAAAATCTTTCTTTTATTTCTTAAATAAAAGTGAAATAAATTTTCATGTTGTACTTTGAATCATTCAAAAATACAATAGAATATCTGGGGTTCCATTTACGCACACACTTGATTTGTGCTATTGATATAAATCTATGACTTTTTACACTGTGATTTACTACAAATCGAGCGAATATAGTCAGATTATAGAGAAATAATATAGCAGAAGTAACTATTACCGAGTGATATGAATTATTAACGGAGTATCTTACCGTCGTTCTGAAGTTTTCTGATGGAATTTTACACACTGTCAGACTGTTGAAAAATACAAATGTATATTTATTTTATTTAACTAATTCATTTTTCACCTTTTTTATTTTATTATTAAAATGAAAAATTATAACAAAAAATATGTTATCGATAGATTTCACTTCTTCTGTGTTTATTTCAATGAGGTGATATACATACATATGATATATATATAAACTGTTGATCATTTCAAGATAAATAGTACTAACTGTTTACAAATAATAAAATGTCATGTAGACGGTAAAACTATACAAATACTAAGTGAATGAATTATCCTCAGTAATGTTTAATAGATGCCTATTATGAATCTAATAAAGTGAGCAACCTTTCGAATACGGTCATTCTTAGTAAAACTTATACTTCTAATATATTACTACTAAAAAAGTTGAAATGGTCTTCGGAGTGGTAGTGAATTCTATATTAGTTTTTATACCTTTTTTTTAATGTTCATACGCGATAATAGCCCTAGAATTATTGGTATTTTTAGAAGTGGGAAAGGCTTAAAATTCGACAGAAAAATGTTTTCATTCTCAGAGTGCTAAAAGTGATGACGAGGAAAGGAAAGAACAAAACCTATCGTGACTCAACCTCTTCAGCGAAAGTCAACTGGCCATCAAGCTATGCCTCCCATGATTGTCTTCATCTGAAAAAGACATTTTTTTAAAATTTTTATTTCACTTGTCGTTAACGAAAGGCAAATTGTGTTTGAAAGGTCGGTTTCTGCCTCAGCTATCACGACTTATGAGGAGCACCATCCATCTTTTTCTCTCTAATCAAGAACTAATTAAAGTTGATTTTATTCATGGAAATTTGCATAATTTTGAATGGTTAGTTAAAACAAAAACTTGAATATCTTTCTGTTATTTTTATATGTAAATATACTTCTGTTTAAGGTTTTTTTTACAAACAATTTAGTCTAAAGTTTCACAATAACGCTCATTTCTTCTATTTAAAAATAAAAACAAGAAAAAAAAATTTTTATTATGTATATATATATAAAACAAAAAATATGAGGGAGTTGTTTTGCGATCAGATGAATTTATAAAATCCTGATACATTGCCAAGTGCATATATATATATATATATATACAATTGAGAATCATCGAATATGTCTTTTTGAAATCTTTGATATATTATATAAATACAAACGAAATAAAATTAACGGAGTTGACAACATTCAAACGTTGAACCAGCATTTAGAGAGAAAGCCGTGATAAGTAAACATGGAAAAAAAACATCCAATAAACACACAAGCTCAAACTATCTGACAGTAAAACCACAAAAGAAATTATATCACAAACACATGTTAATAAGAAAAATTTTATAAATTGTTTGTTTTTTTTTATGCATGATCAATACAACTTTCTTTTTTGATTTTCTCTAATGTTTCAGTATCTTGAAGAAGTTGATCTAGCCTTTTTTCGCATTCTGCAATTGTTTTTATATAATAATCTTGATCAGCTAATATTAAATATAAATTAGCTTGTACAGCAAACACATTTTCAAGTTCAGGATAAAATTCAAATGGACATGAATAACATTTGTGTTTTTGTCTATTCATTATACGTATATCAACAATAGAATCATTTGGATCAATAACACGAAAATTATCATCAAATAATATATGATGTGAACGAGGATTTCTATCATCTGGATCAAACCATATTGGTTTTGATGTTGTATAATGATAATTTGTTTGAAACCATGCATTAAAATCATCTCTTATTGCATGTATACCATGACCACTTTCTAATTTTTCATGAATTAAAAATTCATCTGCTATTATTTGCATATCAGAATCTTCTTCAAATTTCATATGAAGCAAAATGGATTGATCTTTTTTTGAACGTTCAATACGACCAGGTTGAAGATTAACATGAAGAGGTTGATTAAATTGAAATGATGGATGTTCATTTGCAAGAACACGTTCAGCATTTTCTAGAAAATTTTTACTATCATCACCCATTGTTCGTAAATATATAACAAAATCTCGATTAGTCTCTTGTAAATATTGAATAAGACGAAAAAATGATGGTAATATATAATGATAGAGTGTACCATTTGCTGAACGAAAACCATTTACAGGTACAAGATCCTTATGTAAAATTGATAAACGTCGTCTACGCTGATAATGTTCTAGTGATGGTTTTAATTCATTTGTATTATGTTCTTGTGCTTCTTCAATAGTTAATATTAAATCTTCTCGTTCACGTTCAGGAAGACCTAATCTATTATAACGTAATGATTCAATTAATTCGTCATAAAATCGACGAAAACGTGCACCTTCATTATTTATAAAACTACCCGTTTTAGCACGTAAATCTTTTCTACCACTAGCTTCTCGTACAATTAGACTTTCTAAATATTTAAAATAGGTTGTACAATTTGGACAATCATTTGGTTTGTGAAGAGATGGTGATGTTGATACCCATTCCCATTCACCTTTATCATTTTCATATCCCCAAAGAACACCGGTTAAGAAATTGTTTACACCTATAAATAAATAAAAAAAAGCGAAACATATATTATTTATTTATATATAAATATTTATGATATTTTCTTCGAAATTAAATTCTACCATTTAGTTGCACTCGATTTAATTGCGATAATATTTTCAATTGAATTGAATTGATTATTAATTAAATATTAGAAACATATAAAGGATGATAGAAAAGTATTAAGACAAGATGTTTGTTTACTTTGAACATATTTCGGATGAGTTAATAACTATGAGTAAAGATACTCTTTTTGAATATGAGCTGAGAAATTTTAACTTAGGTTTTACTGGAGAGTGGTGAAGTAATCTTTGAAAAAAAGAAATTAAAAAATTAGTTTGGACGAAAAATTTTTTTTATTTTGACTATTGCAATGCGAAACTAAAAGTTAAAGATCTTTATTTAGATATCAGCTTCTATATTAGAAGCTACTGT